GTCAGAGCTACACCGACAAGCATCGATGCCCCCCGTAATTCTCAGCTGCAGCCTCGTGTTTTCCCGGGGAGGTCTTGTGGACTCTCTTTCGATTCACATATTAGTGCTTTCTGTCATGTTTTATGGCAGATTTTTCAGTAAAAAGTGTGGAAAAATTCCTCGGTGCAGAGGGGAAAAAGAAAACCTGAGGTCTGAAATGCCATATGCAAAGCATGCCAAAATCATAACGGCAACCTTACCTGCAGTCCTGAGCCTACTGACAGTTGGCAAATTCTTTTATGAAGCTGGCGAAAGCTTTGAAAAGATGCAACAGAGTACTGAGGCTGCAGCTTCTGCTACGGTACTGGAAAATTCTTTAATCAGTTAGGTGCTTGCGTAAGGAACGTGGCTCAGGTGCTTCCACACACAATGTGCGTACTGATTTTTAACGACTTGTCCTCCTAGAATCTTATTCTCTTCCAGTATTGTAGATACTATGTAAATCTTCCCCTCTAGGTTGCCATCTCTTATTTTACAAACCGTACTGACACCGAACTTTACACACCATCTAGCATGTATGTACCGCATTAATTATAAAGCTTTTTTAAAAAAGGACACGTGTCCAAGATTCATTGACACAGTTACATACACTTACCCCCATGATTATTTCTTGTTACTGTCCTGTTTGGAGAAAAATGAACATGTGAGGATATAGGGAGTCGTGTGAAAAATTACGGTCCTGAACAGATAGTAGATCTTTAAGATAGAACAAAGATCTTCTAATGCTTCTAATGCTAATCTATCCAGCTTCTAAAGAACTGAAGATTACGAAGGTAAATTGAATATTTAAGCTCATTTATATAAAATCTAGCCATTTCTGGAATGCTGGTTTTTTTAGGACTGTCATATCGATGGTTCCATAAAAACAGAGAGGTTCGACTACGGATAGACCGACGCTTTACGTGGTGGTGGGAAAAGGAATTGCAAGTAATCCTAAAAAAGGGAGTAGGTTACTTGAAGGAGGTGTAGATATATCTCAAAGAATAGGCGAGATATTAAAAGAAAGAAAAGCTGAAGAGGATAACAAAAAACACGATGGGGAAATGAAAAAAAATATCAGTAGTCCTAAAAATTCGTATTACAGAGAAGAGAATTCTGTTAAAAGTTTCTTTTTGTCTAGGATGAAAAAGGTTGTCCACTCTTTTTTTTTTTTTTATGCAAGGTTTGTATACTTGACTACAAAACTTTGAATTGCTGTTGTTAAAATTTTCCACAAATGGAAGGTCCACCACATATTTTTCTACCAAGTTAGTACACTAGAAAAGAGTAGTCGTATTATAAATGTTGTTGATAAAATTTGCCATGCAAATTGTAACTGAAAAATTGTTTTACTTCAAAAGTACATCGGTTACAAAATCTTTGACAAAGGTAGGCGAGCATATTCTTCCACTCAGTGATGCTGAACGCAACAACAAAAAAAAAAAGTTACCCGTTATCTTTTATGCAAACTCACCTTTTGTACCAATTGGAATCCTGCTATTCATACTCACCCCTACAGACAAATAAAAGTAGATTTTCAGTAATATGAGGATGAAACCTTTTTTCTTGACCTGAGTTACCTGCTTACGTTTTAGATCCCATTCGAGTTTGGAACTTAAATACCACAAATTTTTAAAAAAGCAAAACGCCACAACATTTTAAATTAACTTTCACACCAATCAAATTGCGCCACGCTGGCAACCTCAGGTTTGACCTTGAAGCCGTGTGTTGTAATGCACATATAAAAAAACGCTACCAGTATCAGTCGTTCACACCAAAATAATATACTGCCTTTTCGTATCATTCCTGGGGGAAAAAAATCTGAAAGCTCCCTACTGCTACAATGACAATATTTATAATTAACAGTTTACGGTGCATAGCCTACAAAAAGTGAGCACATGACTATTGCTGAAGATCTGCTGGATAGATTATAGAGAAAATCTTTTGAAAATGCTCCAATAATAAATAACAGGATGCATATGATCCACAAAAATGCACTGATGAAATCGGTACAAAGGATAAAGCTGAAAAGATGCAATTTGGTTTGCGTAACAGTTGAGGCAGAGTTAGGCATCGACAGCTGTGAGGAAGGTGGGTGTTCTTCACAGGTTGTTTCAGAGTCTGTTACACTTGGAGTATTTTTATGTGCATATGATTAAGGACTATGGTTATAATATACGGTCTTGGGCATTAACAATCCCATCCATTTAAAGTTATCTCTTAATAATTATTTGTGTGTGAAGAGGAAGTCACACGTGGTCGTTCGGTAAGAAGCATTGTTCTCTCATCGTGTGAAAACCTGTATCGGGAAATGTTGCTTGACAAAAAATTGTGTGAGCAGTTTCTTTTTATATCCTGGGAGACTGTTATGTCTTTCTGTCCACTTCTCCACTTTTTTCCTCTCTGTTTTTCCTTCCCCGTTGCTGGAAGGTGTAGACTTGTATGAGACAAAGAGGTTGAGAAGAGAATTGAACCACCTCGTATTTTGCAGTCTTAGTTTAAGGAAAAAATGAATCTTAGTTTAGGAAAAAAATAATTTGAGAAAAATTTAGTTTAAGAAAAAAACTTGTTACCCTTGGGAAGCTTTGTATTTCAAGAAAATTTAGTTGCTGGCCTTTTTTTACTTTCTAGCAGTCCTATCCCCACCCCACCCGCAGCCTCTCTTTTCGAAGGACACCAGTATTGGGGATGAACATAGTATTCGGGATTAACGTGTTACTGTCTTTTAAGAAACCCTGCTTAAGATCCCATGATCTGGCACTTTCCGCACCTGCTGCAGACTCTACTTTCTGCAGCAAGAAACTGTGTATAAAACCTGGGCCCCGGCAGCAGAATACCGGGAATTTTTGGAATGTGAGCAAAAGCGAGAGTCTCGGCTATTGCTGGAGCCGGAAGAGATACTCAAGGAAAAAGATGCGCGACCGATTTATTTAACAGATACGTATTTTTCACCTTGCTCCAACATCACTCGACTCCAGTTCGGAAGCGCTGGTTCGCAAGGGGAAAAGGCGGCAGTGCAGAACATTGCTCGGGGCCGGACGGGTTCTCCTTCGTCCGTACGTTCTGGGTCGGGTCGTGTGCGTGCATGTGTGTTACTGTGTGCCGTGACTGACTTAAGGTGCGCATCAGTAACGCGGACTGTGCCTTCACCTTGCGTTTATAGGGAAAGCCTGTGACTGTATCAGGATAACTCCAAGGCAAGCGTTTGCCTTCCCTGGTTGGCGATGCCCTATGGGAAGCTGGCCACCAGGAGGCACTCATCCCACGCGCTAGTCGCGCCTTCCACTGATCCCTCCGACTACTCGGGAAGCCAAAGGTGGTTTGAACGTCTCGACGATCCTTAGTAATGGCCTTAACTACATCTATTGCTATGTAGCCATTATTCTGAAACGTAAAATAAGAGCCTCCAGTCACTTCACTTGTTTCAATATCTTATTTTCCCTTAGGACCAGCTCCCGGATGATGGTGGCAGGGAAACAAACAGGAGCACTGATTCTGTTCACCATAGCTGTCAGCTGAAATAGAAAACACGTACTAAATTGTTCTGTAGGAAATGAAAGAGAACTAGATTCAAGACGGAAATTCACATTTAGCATCTTGAAGTGAAATATAGCTATCAAAGCACAGGCAATCTTTTAAAAACTCTTTTCCTATGCTTTTCATGCAACTATTAGGAGTCCTCAGGCTACCAGTCAACACTGTCGGTTTAGAAAAATCTTGGCTCAAATACTCAGTTTTAAGGCACGAACTGAAGAAGTAAATACCCAGCCAAGTCTGTTTTAATGAGAGTTTTTAATCTTAGTTATTTTGGCATCCCTTTCTACAGATGTCAAGGCAGTAAATGAATGCTCTCAGAGTGCTACGGTTTACGGGTAGATGCATTTTTGATTAATAACTAGCATTTCTTGTCTGGCACGGTCTGACTCTGAACTGCCTTCTTAAGCGAGCACAGTATTGGAAGCACTGATGCGAGTTAGGTAGATTGTGTCATCCTGTAACAGCGCATTGTATTTCTACATAGGTCCTAAATATTGAACGTGGTTTTTTTCTCGGCTTTCTCTAACACGATTAAAATAAATTAAGGTTTTTCTTTTCTCTGCACCCTGTGTTACTATTGCACTCTAAAGAACCTTACAGTGGAAACAATAGAAAAGTACCTTTCTTTGTGAAAAAGGAAAATCCTAGCATTTGGTGCGGGATCAAATTTGGAGCAAAGGTTCTGGTATTATTTTTAAAAAGTAAATAAAATAGGAATCATTAACCACAGACAGCAACATTTATAACGCCTTTCACAAATATTATTGGATCCTTTAAGTGCACGTTTCCATGCAGAAACAAGGAAATGATTTTGATTTGATTTTAAATGAAACAACAGTTTGTGTCGTTACAAAATCATTGGTAGACAGTAATGGCTATTACTATTATTAATAGTAACAGCTATTCCTAAATAGTAACAAGCTCCAAATTCTGTAATATATTTGCGTAAGTATGTAATATTTTCACTGTTTCATTGTTTTTCATTATTAGTCAGACAAACCAAGTAGCCTATTTGAATTGCAAGGAATGTAAAATGTGCTGTGAGTCGAAGCAGCTTCTACTCAAACTGTGTCATTTCCCAGTCGAGTTTAGATAAGTTAAATTTGTAACAGTCAGGTATATTTGCTCTGCCACAACTCTTTTTCAATACTGTGACTCGTGCTAGAACTCTGCGCAAACGAAAACGAGGTATCCAGTTGGTGTTTGAGCTCTCTGCTACGAGTACCACAGCAGGGAACGTGGATTTTCAGCCTTGGGAAGCTTCTCTTAAGCTTGATTGACATATCTTAATTGCATTTATATTCCCTTTTCGGTTATTCTAAAGTAATCATTAAGAATTATAAGCATTGCCAATACGTTTAACATGCCATTTAACCACACGCTACAAATTATGTCTGATAAAGGGATCTTCCTGTGGATCTTACGTTAAAGCTTATTCTATTACAAAAAGAAAACCACAAATGAAAAGTGTTTGTCTGATAACATACATCAGCAAAATATAAAACCAGCATTTTATGTTGCTTTTCCTTTGGTATGCAGATACAATTAGCGCTGCTACTGAAGTCAGAAGATGTCTTTATGCGATTAAAGCAAAGCACATCCACACTGAAGTTCCCAACAAACCCATGCTAGTTATCTTCGTTCTTGTCGTTTGCCAAACCGTTCTTCGGCTGTCTTTGTTTTTGATAGATCTACTCACTAGATGAGTAAAATTTTTGGTAAAACACTCCTTTGTAGACAATCCCAGAAAGTAACTTCTCTCCAGTTCAGTCACATAACTAAAAAACCTGGGAATTATATAAAGTCAGGTCACAATTCTCAATGTGGTTTTCATGTTAAAAATTCAGAAAAGATGTTGTATTGCTAGTGTTATCTATGTGAGACTCCCTAAGCTCGTGGCATTTTCTCCATTGAAAACATGTGCGTTGCCCCAAATCTTCCTGAAAATTATGTCGACTCCAAAATAGCTGTCATCTACATATTACAGTTGCTGTTCCCTTATATATCTTCACAATTTCACCATTCTTCTTTGCGGGGAATTAGAGACATAGCAGCAGTAATGTGCCACCGGTGCAAAGTTCCCAACTCCTCCTATCTGTTCGTTTGGGGTTGTTTTTTTTTTATGGCACAAAGCTTCTGCCCAATAGAGAGCTGAAATTCTCTACCTTTCCGTCGCTGACTTTTTGTTCCGTGGTTTTTCTTTCAGGCAGGGACAGATGGTTCCTACCCAAATTTTTCATCTGGGCCTGAAGAGGTGTTTCGTTCCGAGTGAACAGTGGAATGCTGGCGTTTATGGCTGAGGTGAGCAGCTGATTGAATGTTACGAGCAGAGCTGTAAAGGGCTGAAAATCACCTGGGGAGAAGCTACAAATACCGTGATGGGCTGGGCTTGGCGAAAGACAGAGGTAGGTTTGCGTGAGGTTGCTCTGAGCACTCTTCTTTTTCGAAGACACCTTTATGTGCTGATGAGGGTTGGTAAATTGGTATCCAGGGTCTAAGGGATTTGGGTGTGTCACTGTTGGAGAGCCTGTGTGCTGGCAGCTGTCTAGGATCAGCAGGAGAATTACAGAAAAAACGCTTAAATGAATCTATGAAAATGCGTAGTTGATTTTGGGTCTTGTCCCTTGGAGAGGAGGGCGTGGAGGAAAACTTACACAGAAATGTCTCAAAATGTTCGAAGTGTAGAAAGAAAAAGGGTCCATTTTACATGATGGTGTAGTAGTAAAAATCTAGTTTAATGCCCTTATGATGAGGAGTGCAGTGTTCCTGGAAAGCAGAAGATGCTGGTCAAAATGAAAGTGCAAGTGCAAGTTAGAAAAATCTGGTATGTTGAATGAATACGGTTTGACAAAGAATAAATAGGCCTTTTAAAAGCAAGCTCATGTTCATTGCATTTCTCTGAAGCTGAATTTTTTGCTTTCCCTGTAGTTTTTAAAAACTTCATTACCATAATTATATTTTCCTTGCTGTGCAAACCGGACACTTTCTGACTTTAATTTGGATTTAATTAGAGATGGAATTTAAAGGTCATATTGAATGAGGAAGAGAGGACTTGCAAGCTTGTTGAAATAAAAATAATTGCTATGGGGTGTATTCTATTTATTGTCTGCATAGTACAGAAACAGTGTCGTTCTGGAAACTGACAGGAAATCAGCACTTTATTGAAAGGTCACTCATATAACAAAAGTTACAGAAGTATATATGCAAGACATCCTAAAAACAGATGTTGGAGATATCGACAATCCATTGGAGAGAGGCATCAAATGTAGGTACGAGGTACAGCATCTTAACTGAGACTACATATTTAGTGTGGGTATCAGAAGCGAAGCCGTGCTGTTAGCAGGTAAGAGTACGAAGGAAATTCTGGGCTGAGGTGAAAAGTCAGATTTATGCTGACGCGCAAGTCAGGAATGATAAGGACAAATTTATCCTCGGGATAAATCTCTTAAGTCAGTAGGTGAGCTTTATTTATGATACCAGATGTTTCACGTAGAAAACCTGAATGCTGTTTCTTTTCTGCGCAAAGCCTTTCTGCTCAGGGCGTAAGAACCTGCTTTTTATTTAGCCTGACTGTGGAAACCCCTTGAAATACAGCGCCTTCACTGACAATGTGTTCGGCTACTTCATTCAAATACTACTGGCAAAAAAAACCCCAAACCCTGTAATAATTGTTGCTAGCTTGGCAAGTGAATTTCTGAGTGCGCTCTTTCTGTGTGGAAGAAGACAGTGAATTCGTATCCATGGAGCGAGACGCTTGGCTGTGTCTTTGCTGAAGTATAGGTGTTCCTCTATTTTTAATGCTAAATAGAGTACACTTTTCAAGAAATTTTCCTGGCTTCCCACAGAGGTTATTGCAAACGACTGACATGTTATTCAGATGGTAATAGTCATCATCTTTGAGTACTCTCGTAGAATAAGCAATTTCTAATTTCTTCGTGAAAGCATTCCGCTTCCTGTTCATCGAGTTTATTACAATGCGGCGCAAAGGCTATTATGCTAATCGCTCGAAGCTGGAACTTTGCACGGAAACCCTCTTTCCGGTTCCGCTTTTTACACCAAGACAAACAGTTGCAAGGGTTACATCCAGTTTTAAGTTGCAACTACAGGCTTAAAGTGACTGTGTACATTTGACTATCTATAGGCACTTATCTGAAGCTCTTAGGGTACTGTCAAGCTTAGCTTTCTTCACGCTTAGTATTTTGCAAATTTCAAAGAACCGATGACAAAAAGTCCTAAGTCCCTCCCGTGAGGACTTTAAAAAAATGAGAGGCTTTTGATGTGTCTTGTTTTACTAGCATTTCTTGTTGGGCAATATACTTCCATGCTGGAAATTGGGTGGGAGGCAAAAATCCAGAGTTGCACAAGAAGATATTTCCATTGCTGTTTTAGTAGATTAACTTGCATCTGAAGAAAAACATATGACATGGAGCGGGAGGGAAGAATTGTGCAGTCTTCACTGATCCGCAGTTTTCAAAAATAACATAAAAGATAAGCATCTGTTCCCGGCGGTAAATTAAGTCTTTCGGCTCTTGAGGGCAACTGGTTGTTGTCCGTCTTTTAGTCCCAGTGCTTGGTGTGCACCGGCAAATGAAAGTGAAAATTCTGCCTTGGACCCTTGGGATTTTGCAAATATCTGCTGCTGTGGTCAAGTGAAGCCAGATGTAGCTCTCTCTGGAATCCATGCTATTCCCGGGACGGACGTGTTGCAACAGAACTATGTGCTGACAGTGGTTTCTGAGAGACACCATCCCCTGGAGGAAAACTGTCGTGTGTGCAGATGCACTGAAGTCCCTTGAGTGGTGGCCAGTGCAGGCAGGACCTTCTCAAGGTTGTGGAGAGGAAGCAGTAATTTCAGGTCACCTGTAAATGGCAGGAAGGGAAGAACACGTTTCATACTATCTATCCGTGGGTGTGTTTTGGCACTGCCAAGGTCGGGGACAGAGGTTGCTTACCTACAGCAATTCCCTAGTGCTGGTGAAGGAGACGGTTTTCCGTACACCTTAGTTTGCTCTGTCCTGGTTCATCAAAATGCAGGGTGCTTTGTCATTGCAGCGCAGTAAGGCACCGCCTATCCACGTGCGTGTTTTCCACAGGACAGATGAGGAAGGTAAGGGATAAATCCAACCTCTCCTAATAGTGGTAGACTGCAGAGTGAAGTACACGTGGTCTTCGTAAGAGCAGCTGTCCCGGATGAGACTGAAGATCCATCTAGCCCAGCTTTCTGTCCCGGACGGTAGCCAAAAACGTACTTGTAGGAAAGAAGACAGGAACAGACTCGGGATGTGGCAGTGTTTCCCAGAATTGCTCCTGTACTGCCAATGATTTGTGTTTCATGGGCTGCCTGAGCGAGGCAGCGGTCTTGGGATTTTTTTGCCCTATGTCTGCACGTTATCCATAGGAAATTCTTGTAAGCTCCTAATATTGACAACATCCTTTGCTATGACTTAGTTACAAGTTATGTGATTAACCGTCTTCCTCTGGTGTCCAGTCCGTTCGCTGCAGTCAGGCAGTTGACTATGTCTGTGCAATCCTGAAGCGTTAACACACAAGAGATTAAATGTGGGTCGCTTGGTATAGTGGCTTTTCAGTATAAATATCTTCACGTAGCATTGCTCTAAATAGGATGCACTTCCTTCTCCGGTCTCTTAGGAGTGTCCCAATGCTCTCTTAGGAGAGCCTTATTTGTAACTCTAACCTAAAGTGCTGGATTTTGGGCCTTTCTGCCCCTCACGCGATAAACCAAGAGGACATTCATCCCTCTGGCATGCCCTGTGGAGCCCCTATCATAGCGTATCCATGCGGAAAAACTTCTCTGTATTACACCCCAAATACTTTCAAGCAAACCAGTCAAGGGCAAACCAAATGAGAAATAAGTAAATAGCAAGATACGCGAAGAATAGGAGCATATATTTCATTTCGTAATTGTTTCTGTATGGCTGTATTTGTCAGGAACTTTCCTTAATGCTCATCCAGTCCCGATTTTCTCTCTGAAGTAGGTTCAAAATGCAGAGGGCCTGTTAAACTTTCAAGAGGGTTTGTCACTTCAGCCAGGCTTTGAAGTGACATGCCTGAATGTTAGCTCTCGCGTGATTCTTACGACTTTGGAAAGAACTGATGGGTGCTCAGCTCTTTGGAAAACATTGGTGTTATTCATAGGACCCGATTTTGTACTCTAGGACTGTACCTCCATCCTCACCTCGGTGTCGTAGGTGCAGCTGGAGCAGAAAGGGTAATAAAGCTGTAGTTCTGAATATATACTGTCATGCTTTTATTTAAAGAATGATTTCCTAATCAATGGCAGCCTGTAATCTGACAATGTTATTTATTATTAGATGCCATTCAATAGGCAGCTGATCCTGAAATATGGGAACTGTACGTTGCTATTCACTTAACTACTGCCTGTGTACGAAGAAAGATTTGTGGGATGATGCATAAAACTTATGCCAGGATACTTTGTCGCTGCTACAAACTTAGGAAGTATGAATGTCAAGGATAAAGATGGTTGTTGAGGCAAAAGCTGGGAACATAAGTCGTGTTAGCGTATTCTGTTTTCTAAGTTTGAGTCTCGGTGTGAGGTGGAAAATAGAATTTTGGATTTTTTTTTTTTTTTATTACAAGGAATATCGACAAATTATTTGACCGTATTTGGATGTAAGCAGTTATGTGAATCTTTTATTTTGCTGCACGTGGTTACTGGCTTGTGTGAGTGGGAATAAACCATGAAACACAGCGGGGAATTTGCTGTGGAGACTGGCTGAGCTCCTTAAAGACTGTCCTGCCATACGGTGAAAGAGTTATCTTT